CTCCCTTGATCCTTCTGCCTCAGCCTTCCAAAAAACCAGAACTACAGGCATGCGCTACCATGCCCAGCTAATTTTTTTTCATTGTAGAGATGAGGTCTCACCAAGTTGCCTGGGCTGGTCTCAAACCCACGGGCTCAGACAATCCACTCACCTCAGCCTCCCAAAGTGCTGGGATTACAAGCTTAGCCACCAAGTATTTAACACTTTTTTGACCTAACTCTAGTCAGACTTCTCTGAACTCTATTCTCAACTAGGTCCTAACTGTTGGCTTTCTTGTTCATCTCTATTTTGCCCACTTTTGTGAGAATCTTGCTGGGTCTGCTTAGGAAAAAATCCCCCACTCTTGATATCTAATCAAATTAGTTATTTTCCACCCTCTATATCTTATCAGCAGTGTGGCCTGCCTTCAGCAAGAATCCTGTTAGGTTGGTTTTGCCAGAGTTCCCCTTATCCCTGATGCTTCCTTTTAATAATTTTCCATCCACTAACACTCACCCTGCTCCTTGGCAATAAATCTTCACCAGTCCTTGTTGCATTCAGCGTTGAACCCAATCTCTCTCCCCTACTAAAAACCCCACTGAAGTAGTTCACCTTGAATAAAGTCTGCCTTACCATCTTCAACAAGTGCCATGAATAATTTTTTTTTCTTTAACACTGACTTAACAAGTAAGGAAAGTTATTCTCTCATATGACAAGAAGTCCAGAAGTACTGCAAATTTCTATTTAATTTATTCAGAAGCTCAAATCTGTCATCAAAAGCCCAGATTCCTGAGACCGCAGGTTTGAGACCCGCCAGGGCAACTTGACAAGACCTAAGCTCTACAACAAACCAAAAAATTAGCCAGGTGTGGTAGCGCGCACCTGTAGTTCCAGGTACTTGGAAGGCTGAGGTGGAAGGATCGCTGGAGCCCAGCAGGTCGAGAGCGGTGGCTGGGAGCGGACACTGCACTCCAGCCTGGGAGACAGAGTGAGACTCCAACTCAAAAAAAAAAAAAAAAAAGCCCAGATTACTTGTACTCACCACTTGCCTTCCTAAGTATTAGCTGATCATCAGGGTAGTTGCAAGCTGGCTCCAGCAGTCATAGGTGTCACATTTAGAAACATCCAGAGGATAAAAAGAGATTATTTCTGAGGCATTCTCTTAAGAGTGAAGAAACTTTTCCTAGAAGCTCCTCAGCAGTTGTTCACTCATGTCTCAATGGCTAGGGTCACTCATTCATTCCTAGTCAGTCACTGACCAGAAGGATGGGATGAGCTCAGATAGAGTCTACCAACCCTGAGTGCCCCTCATGCAAAGGGCTGTGTCAGGCAGCAAGATTTTTGAACTAAATCAAGATTCTGTTAAGGAGGAAAGAGGAGAAAGAACCAACATATTCACTACAAATCCCAAAGAGTGACACTACAAAAGAGACAAAATATATACCTCCAAGCTGTCAGTCCAGCAATAGCAGAATGAATTATACTAGGGCATCTAAATCAGAAAGAGGCAGAGCAGACACTGAAACCGTTCCTTGACAGGAAGCAGCTTTGCAGAATGGTTTTTTCTTTGTTTTGGTTTGGTGTTTGCTATTTGCGGGGGTGTTAAAGACTGCTTTATTGGTGGCAGTAGTACAAGTCAATAAGTATTGGTTGGTCCCCAAAGAAGAACTACTTGTCAAGTTACGGGTTCACAGAGAGCTAAACCAACCCGATCCAAGTCACTGTTGGGGTGACTAAAGTCAGTCCTGCTTCTTGGGAAACAAAGCCATAGCCAGCTGATAGCTGGCATATGCTGTTCCTCCAACTGTAAGAATCATGGTCACTCTATACAGCAGGGCATCAATCACCCCACCCTTTAGATGCACTGGAATTCCATTATCCTTCTGAAGCAGCTTTTGTTTCTCTGGAACTTCATTTTCAAAACGCCTGCATGAAGCAAAACTTTTTCTATATATCAAGCAGTTATGCTTAATTCAATTATAGTAATTTATATGTAATCATTATTAGTCTATGGGTTTGGGTCCTATGTTTAATAATTTCTCCTTATATGGTTAATTTATGTCAAAATATTAAAGATATAAAAATAAAATTACGTGTAACTAAGCATTTATGAATTGCCTTAATTGAAAAAAATTATAAAAATATTGGAACTACCTTGGAAAACAAGATATACAAAAACCTGCCCTCCCTTAAATAGCAGGTAAAAGAAAATTATAAAATCTTATCCAAGAACATTTAAGAAATTGTCTCAGTCTTCTCAGGCTGCTATAACAAAATGTCATAGACTGGATGGCTTAAACAACAGAAATGCATTTCTCACAGTCTGGTTATGGAAGCTTGAAAGTCCAAGAACAAGGTGCTAGCAATTTGATGTCTGGTGAGGGCTTTCTTCCTAGCTTGTAGCCTTTTCACTGTGTACTCACATATGCTTTCCTCTATACGTGCTCATAGAAAGAGAGCTCTCTCTTCCTCTACTTAGAAGAACACTAATCCCAGCATGAGAGTCTCACCATCCTGACCTAATCTATACTTAATTAGCTCCTAAAGATCCTACCTTCAAATAACCATCACATCGAGAGCTAGGGCTTCAACATACAACTTGGGGGGAAGAAAGGCACAAACATTAAGTCCATAACAGAAATAAATAAATCTTGACTAGGTTACCCTTTAATTTCTCTGAGAATGCAGACTGCTCTCTTTTTGAGGATTTAAGCAGGGATGTGAGTAAAGGATGTGAGATTGGGAGAGAGTCTAGATAGGAGTAAGATCTGACTTCTTCCTATTCCTCCTTCCAACAGAATATTAATGGTATCCAATGATCCAGCAGTCCATTGATCTATTATTGTCCCTACTGCCCCCAGGAAATGATGATTGATATGGACACAACAAGGGTCAGGTGGAGGAGGAAACTTTTCTGGCAGACATTTTTAAGGGGGTGATGCCACCAGAGATCACAAGTTTCCTTTTAAATAATAATAATTATTATTTTTTAAAGATATTCTTTTTAAAATAATAATAATAGAGATATGAGGTCTTGCTATATTGCCCAGGTTGGTCTCAAACTCCTGACCTAAGGCCACTTTGGCCTCCCAAAGTGCTGGGATTTCAGATATGAGACACTGTGCTGGGTGGGCCTCGGGGATATTCTTTACCCAAGTATCCCCTTCTCAGATTGCCTATAGAAAGGCCATCATGATAATTTGGAGAGAGGCTAGAAGCAAAGGAAAGTGTGGCTGTTTTCATTACTCTTTCACAGAAATGAACGTTCTAGTTCATCCTGGATAAATGACACTAGCAAATATTTGGTTATCAAAACTCTGGTCCTATAGTTGTTTTTTTCAGTTATTTATTTGCATCAGAGTCTCACTCTATTACTCATGCTGCCGTGCAATGGCATGATCACAGCTCACTGCAGCCTTGACCTCCTGGGGCTCAGGTGATCCTTTTGCCTCAGCCTCCTGAAATAGCTGGGGCTACAGGAGCACACCACCAAGCCTGGCTAATTTTTTATTTTTTATTTTTAGGGATGAGGTCTTGCTATGTTGCCCAGGCTGGTCTCAAACCCCTGGTCTCAAATGAGTCTCCTGCCTCAACCTCCTGAAGTGCTGGGTTTACAGGCGTGAGCCACCACGCACGGCCCATGGTGTTTATTGAATGCTCTTTAAGGAAACCAAAAAAGTTCATTCCAAAATATACTTTTTTAAACATATTTTAAGAGATCTCTTTGGAAAGTCTACTAAGCTGCCATTGTGGGAGAAATTTGTTTTAACAAAATATGCAATGATGCAGCCAGTCTTACTCTGATGCCTCCCTATCCAAATCTAGGAAAGATTAACTGAGTCTGACACCTTTAAAGGGTTGACAGAAACATTCACCATCTATTCTTTCTAAAGGCCGCTGTTACCTGTGAGACTTCATCTTCATAAGACCACCTTTGTTAGTCAGACTTCTTCTCCTCCTCCTATAACCTGTTTTGCCACCATAACCTGTTTCGCCAAGATCTGAGCCCCTATTCTTTCTGTAACCTCAAGATGGAATTTAAAAGCCTCAATCTTCTGGCCATTTATTTGAGTTTTTATATTTTGCTTTATTTTAAGAAATAAAACAAAGTGAACTTAAGGCAGCTTCTTTCCACGAGCAATGAGACTCGTATCCCCTTTTTGCCATGCCTATATATTTTTTATTGTGTTACTGACTGGATCTCAAAGTCCACCTAACTTCCTAGCCTCTGATCTCACCATGGCCCGACAAACAGTTTTGAGTTTCCTATGGTAGTTTGGAGCTCGTGGGTAAAGGGAATTACGGTGTTTCTTCAGAGAGAGAAAAGGATCGGGACCCACTGCCTCACCCCAGCCAGGACTTGTCAGGTTCACGGGAAGCACATGGACCAGCGCACTGGAGGTTGCTGGCGCCTCACAGATTTCCGGAGCCCGCACACCAGGTCGGGCGGCCCTGCCCAGCGCAGGCAAGACGCGGCTGCAGAGAATTGTGGGGCGCCATGCGACCGCCAGAGGACGCAAGCGCCTCAAGCCCCAGCGCGATGGCGTCGCCCGGACCGGGAAGGAAGGGTGGTCCGCCTGCGAGGAGCGGCAGCTGGGGCCTGGGAGCCTGCGGGGAGAGCGGGTTCACGCCTCGGCTCGGAGCGCCCGGCTTCCGCGTGCGGCCCACCAGACCCTCCATCCCCACCAGCCCGGGGGCCCCAGCCCGATCTGCGCTCGCGGGGTGACCTCCCCGCGCGGGCGGTGACAGAGGGCGCGCTCAGCTCTGCGCCCACCTCGTGGCCCCACTCCCGCTCCGAGCCAGAGGCCTGCGGGGAGGCGACGGCAAGGGCTTCAAAAGAGGAACGACTTAGGGGCCAGAGCCCCAGGGCGGCCACCTGCGGCGTCGGCCACGCGGAACAATGACCGGAGGGGCTGCGGGTGCCGCGGCGGGCGCGGAGGAGCTCGGGCGCCCGGGCGCTGGAAGCCCCGCCCCTCGGCCGGCGCC